TTCATCACTGAAAGGCTCAGAGCACTTTTCAAGAACTGGCATCCACCCCGCGCCTTATGAATTCATTAATTAAGGTGCTGGCAAACAGCCACCGCACACATGCTGACTTCCAGCCGCGTTAGGTAATGAGGTTTTAGTCTCCTGACCCCCGTCAAGTGGAGCAGAGCCCGGCGCGGGCTGCCGAGAGAAATCACCTGCCCAATGGCGACCTGTCGCTCGGCCCGGCAGCAGGTGAGGCTCATTTAATGGTCAGCAGCCCTGAACAGAAAGCCTGTCCCTCAGCCCCCCGGCCACAGCGCCCCAGCACAGGGCTGTCCAGCTGCCTGCCCTGTCCGGCAGCTTCCTACCCTCCCACGGACCAGCAGGAGCGAGCACAGCCTCCTTCGGCCCCTCCAGCCAATTCAGTCAGTATTTATGGATGCTCTGCCAAGCTGCTTCCATCCCCGCCTCCAACCGGTGGGTACCCCTCAGCTGGGGCTGGCCTTGTCCGTGCCGAGTGCCCTGCCTGGCCCTTCCTGCCTTCCCAGACAGACAGCAGCGGGAAGCTCTGGGCCAGCAGTGTGGGAGGCTCCCCTCCTCTCCCACCCCAAGAGCCTGGCCCTGGCTTTGGGATCAGGATTCCACTGTTTACTCCTGACCGGACACCCTGCTGGTTCCCAGGCACAGCCCTGACTCCCGCCCGCTGCTCCTTTGCCCGGCTCCATTATGGAAGTCAGAGAGTCAGCGGTAGCTGTCCCAGCCTCACCGCGGCTCCAGGTGGTGATGAGCCAGCTCGGACACTGAGAAGTCCCAAGAGGGAAAGTCCTGGAAGAACTGTGGCTTTGCTAAGAAAAAAGAAAAACCCAGGGGTTGGAGCGATAGCACAGCGGGTAGGGCGTTTGCCTTGCACGTGGCCGACCCGAGTTCTATTCCCAGCATCCCATATGGTCCCCCGAACATTGCCAGGAGTAATTCCTGAGTGGAGAGCCAGGAGTAACCCCTGAGCATCACCGGGTATGACCCGCCCCTCCAAAAAGAAAAAGAAAAACCCAAAGAGGGCAGTGGTTCCTCTCTCCTTCCTGGCTGAGTTGGAGGTGATGGCTTAAGCTGTGGCAGCTATCTCCTGAAGAAGAGGAAACAGCTAAAAAGGCAGAAATGCCAACCCAAAGAGGGTAGAGCTTTTGTACCCAGGCCAGTCGCCATCTACTTCAGAATTTCTTGGTACGGGGAAAACAGGTATATTCCGCTTACCTAGCCCACCTGGATTCCTGTGGCCAGAGGCAGTTCTCACTGCTGAGCACGAGTGAACAGTCCTAACAAAGCCATCCCCTTTAAGAGACCAGCTAAGATACTAAATGTCTGCGAAGATCATGTGGCTACTGGAAGGTCTAAAGACATCAAATAAAACTGTCCAGCTGTGAAAAGTGCTGTGACCAAGTACAGCCGTTACTCTCCAAGAGCAAAAAATCGAAAACAGGTGCGGCCAGAGCGATGGGACAGCAAGTAGGGCATTTGCCTTGCATGCAGCCAACCCAGGTTTGATCCCTGGCATCCCATACGGTCCCCCGAGCAGTGCAGAGCCAGGGCATTGCCGGGTATGACCCAAAAAGCCAAAAAAAAAAAAAAAATCTAAACTAGTTTTTAAATCAGTCCAGATCCTCTCACTTGAGACCAAAATGCAACCTTTCTTTCTCTCACTTTAAAATCACTAGCAGAGACGAGGAAACGGCTCAAGTAGCAGAGTACATGCTGGCATGCATGAGGGCCTCATCGCCACATGGCTCCTGCTTGGAGCGGCCCTAGTGCTGGGCTGAGCAACCAACTAGGACGCCACACCCTGGCTCCCCAGCACGGCACATGTGCCCCTATTAAAAAAATCAGTACCAGATCTGGGGATTTCTCGTCTACATTATAATTCTCCCATTTTCCAGAATCCTCAGAATGGAAACTAACAGTCAGTTTTGCATGCCAACTCTGAGCTCTCACAGGTGGCAAAGAATTGAACCACAACCCCCTTGAAGAGTCCCCCGTAGGGGAGGCGGGGGGGGGGGTCTGGGGCTGCCCGTGCAGCAGCTGCCCAAGCGGCCCCCAGGGCCAGTGCCACCCGCTCAGTAATTGCTTCATTACAAGTGGAGACTGTTTGCAGGTGCTGAGAACACTCACTTGTGGGGGTTTTATTGCACTCGTCAGATTAACAAACATTTTTGATTAAATCACCACTTCATTGGCTCCGAGCACACGACTTTTAATAAGAGGGCAATATCCACTGCTATGGAGCGTCCGTTCACATTCAATACTCAGGTCCGCTGGGGGCAATGGAGGAGCAGGGTGGGGGCACAGCCAGATGCCCGGCTTTTTCGAAGGCACAGCTTCTGAGCTCAAATCTTAGAAGATCTAAGTAAAAAAAATGACGGACCAGAATGTTGATAACCAGGCCTTGGGAGGGACCAGAGCCACAGACTGAAGAAATAGGGCAGGGCCCCTGCTCTCCGGTACCCCAGCCTGGACTCGGCAAGCAGGGCTGATCACTTGGTTTCATATAAAAGCGTTTCCTGAACATAGCCCCATCCACTCCTTTACATACTGTCCATGGTGGTTTTGTGCTAAGACACGCCTTGGGTATAGAGTCAGTTCTTACGACTGCAGTAGTTGTGTCCTATATAGAGTTGCTGCACCAACAAATTGGTGAGTACTGAACCAGGTGACATTTCTCGGAGCCTCTGGTCACGACATTTTCACCAACCGGTCAATACAAAACCTTGTTTTGTATGTAGTACTGTAGCACTGTCCTCCCGTTGTTCATCTCTTTGCTCGAGCGGGCCCAGTAATGTCTCCATTGTGAGACTTGTTGTTACTGTGTCTGGCATATTGAATACGTCACGGGGAGCTTGCCAGGCTCTGCCGTGCAGGCGAGATACTCTCGGTAGCTTGCCGGGCTCTCCGAGAGGGGTGGAGGAATCGAACTCGGGTTGGCCGGGTTGGCAGCATGCAAGGCAAACACGCTACCCGCTGGGCTACTGCTTCTGTTTAAAGAGAGCTTATTTAATGTTTATTGTAGGTTCGTTACTTCTGAGCTCACGGCCAACAGCATTTTAACTCATGTCCATACGAAGTTTTAGCTAACAGATATTTTTGCTCTAAGTCACGCATAGTCTTCGTGCACTTAAGAGCACTCAACAGCACTTTAGTACTATACTTGGAGGCCATCTGAAACAGCAAAATCACCAACATGCAAAAAAGTGGCACTAAATGTCCATAAAAAGGAACATCTATTCACAGTATGAGAGCTGAAACAAGAAAGCAGAATGCGGCCTTGTTTGACCTGAGCTGAATGACCCCCATGTTTCATTGCTTGACTGTCAATGATAACAAAAGCACTTGTACTGATTTGTGGGTTACAAGTATATTTCAGCAACTGGGCAAATTCAGAAATAGAGTCTGTGTAATGAGGATAGCCCAACATTGCAATGAAGATCATAATGATTAAGACCCATGAGGTCTAAACTATTTAACATCTGACCCTTTACAGACACCTGCTGATCCTTCCACTAGCCTGCTTGGACAAAAAAACAAAACAAATTTTCTTGGTGAAGAACAAGAAATGTTGGGATTTCTCTTCTATCAGCTCATGTCTATGGTGTCTCTATGGTGCATCTCATCCTACCACTATGTTATTCTCTCCCGCCATCCCCGCCAAGTAGAGCTCTATTTTTCATGGGCTGATTAGGACTAAGTTTTCCACATCAGAATGGGGTTGTAGTGCATTTGGGAGTAGTGGGGGTGGTGACATCGGTGATGCACACCACTCTGCACTCAGGGATCACTCCTGGCAGTACTAGGGGGACCATATGGGTGCTGTTGTGGCTAGAACCCCAGTTGGTTGTGTGTAAGGCAAACACTCTCCTGGCTGTAGTACTATGGCTCAACCCTGCGGTGCTGCATTTTATTTTATTTTTTTGGCTTTTGGGGTCACATCTGGTGATGCACAGGAGTTGCTCGGGGCTCTGCACTCAGGAATTACTCCTGGCGGTAGCTCAGGGGACCATATGGGATGCTGGGAATCGAACGCGGGTCAGCCGTGTCGTTCCCGCTGTGCTATCACTCCAGCCCCATGGTGCTGCATTTTAAACGCTGAGTCTTTCCTCAAAAATGCACTCCCAGGTCCTGCTGAATGAGGCTCAGGGTGGGTTCCACGCCCTGCCAGCTTCCTCAGCGCGGGCTTCAGCCTGAAACCACTGGGCTAGGTGGCCAGTGTTGGAAGGCGGCCACCGGTCTCTCTCTTGCAGTATGCCAACAGGGCCTTGTGTACCAGAAGGCAACCCCCACGTGCCCGGTTCTCAGCTGCTGCACACAGAGTTCTACTGAGCCTGTTTCCTCACCTGTAAGCAAATCTCAGGTCTGGGGTGAGCCTGAGGACCCTGGAGGCAGCAGCTGCCCAACAGGATGCACCCCCCTGCCCCCCCCCCCCATCCTGCAGTCCACTATTAGGACGCATTCCCGAACTGCCTGTACCAATTCCCAAAGGTTCCAGAGTAATTTTCCAGCTACAAGCTTTGGGCACCGGGCGGAGAGCTCCCATCTCGGGGGGTTAATGAAACCCCGAGTCACGCTCCCGCACTTCTGGGGGCGCCCCCGCCCAGACAGAGCCCGCAGGGGGGCTTCTCGTCCCTTCACCCGTGCCACCTCTGGGGGGTCCCCTGCACGCCCGTGACCCTCCCCGCCAGGCAGCATCCCCCTCCCCGCCAGGCATCCCCCGCCACGCCCCCGGGGACCTCCTCCCTGCCCCGGGAACGCCCCCCTGCACCCCCTCCCCTCCCCCAGCACGCCCTCCCCGGCCCGGGCACCCCCTCCCCGCTCCCGGGACCCTCTCCCCGGCCCGGGCACCCCGCCCCCACCCGGCACGCCCCCCCCGCCCACGACCCGCGTGCTCCCTCCCACCCAGCGGCCCCTCCGCTGGCCTGCAGCAGGGCCGACCACGAGCCCACGAGGCGGAGGCGCCGCAGCCCCCCTCAGCCCCTCACCTCCAGCGCGATGCCCCGATTCTCCCGCTTCTTTTTGGTCATGTTACTCGCCGGGAAGCCCGTCATCGGGGACACGCCCACCTGGGGCCAGGGCGCACGCGCCAGCCAGCGTGCCTCTCCCTCATTGGCCGCCGGGGCGGTGGGTGGAGCTTCTGCCCGCCGCCATCTTGGTAAGGGGCGTGGGCGCCTGGCGCTGCCATGTTTGTGAGGGGCGGCGTTCGGGCTGGGGACCTCGGCGAAGGGTTGGGGGGAAGGAGGTCGGGCAGGGGCAGCTGCTCTTTAACGCGGCTTCACGATCGCCCTGGGACACCGTGAGCAGAGCCGAGCAGTGTTTCCTCCTCTTGTGTCTTGTGTTCTGACTTGTTGTATTACAAGGACAGCTTACAATAAATAGGAGGGTATGAATGAAAAGGTACTAACAGGAGAGTATGAATGAAAAGGTACTAATAGGAGAGTACAGATGAAAAGGTACACCACCACTCACCACGGCTGCTCTGTGTTCCCTTCCAGGCCTGGCTTAGGCCCGGCCTTTTTTTAGTGTAGCGATTTTATTGTACATGATAAATATCTTTATATTTATCATGATAAATATCTTTACCACCTGTGATGCACACTGATATTTTCTAGTTCATTTTACACACACACACACACACACACACACACACACCTGGGAGTGGGCCGGAGAGACAGTACAATGGGCAAGGTGCAGCCTTGCACATGACCCAGATTTGACACCAACATCGCATAAGGTTCCCTTAGACACCCCCCCCACACACACACCGGGAGTGATTTCTGAGCACAGAGACAGGAGTAAGCCCTGAGAGACAGACAGACAGACAGACAGACAGACAGACATTGCCCCATGCCTTTGAAGTGATTTGTGATGACAAAAGTCACGTAGTGAAGACATACCATCCTTATATTGGTTATTATTTTATTGGACTTTACTTACAAATTCGATATGCCAAACACAGTAACAACAAAGTCTCCAATGGAGACATTACTGGGCCCGCTCGAGCAAATCGACGATCAACGGGAGGGCCTTTACCTTTTTTTTTTACCTACAAATAATGCCAACACAAATATCTTTGTGCAGGTAGCTCTGTCCTGAACTTTCTCTTTAAGAGAAATTCACACCATGAAGTTACTGAATCAAAAAGAATAAGACCAGAACGGAGGCCTTATTTTCTGACCCGTTATCTCTGTTGGAGCTCATGTTTCTATGTGTGAATAATAACCTCAACTCTGTGTTCGAAGAGAAAAGGAATGTTTTCAGATCTGTGTTCTTTTCTTGATAGAGTCATTGACTGATGGGGCTGGAGGGGACCCGAGATACCATCTCGCCTGCCGCCTGCTCGAGGCCCCCAGAGGGAGAGTGCAGTAAAATCTGTCAGAGCAGGGCACAGGCTGTTGAGCAGTTGTTTAGTGCCACACTCAGCCAAACACCCAGCGCAGGAAAAACCGACTCAGGAACATTGTCCATCAACTGTCAATCAACAGCGCTGATTGTGAGAACTCTCTTCATTGCATTGGTTCTGATCCCAGAAAATCCAGACTCTGCTTCCAATTATCACAGGCACGGGCCCTGGGGAGGTGAGAAGAGGAGGAAAAAACACTGTGTTCTTTGAGAAGTGGCTCCTTCTGCGTCTGTTTGTTGGCACCAAGAAAAAGTCAAGGAAATCTGGGTGTGCCTCATGGCAGTTCCTTTTGTTTCCATTCCCTTGCCCCCCAGACATGATGGACAAGTTGGCATCCTGCTCTCTGAAGAGATTCCCAAACCCAACCCTATTCCATAGCTCTGATCGTGGAACAAGCACTTGAAATGGGGCTGGGGTAGGAGCCTCAGCGGACTGTTGTGAAAGGCCCTTGCAGACTGAGTCCAGCCTGGAGTCTAGTTCCAGTTCTGTTGTTTAGCAGAGACAGGATCTGGGGCAAGAGACAGTACCATGTACCGGGTCACTTTGAGGGGAGACTGACTCGGGCTTTGTGCTGTGGCCTTTGTATGACCAGTAGGGACTTTGCAGGACGAGCCCACTCCTGCCTGCTTCTTGTTAAGAGTTTCACTTGGGAATTGTTGACATTGGTATTTTTGTTGTCGTTGTTTTGATGCTGCTTTCTCTCTCTGAGACATTATTGTAAAGTGTCTTTTGTTGGGAGTTTGAGGCAAATACTTGGGGTGTTTCCTGCTCTCAAGGGTGCAATAACTCACTGCAGAAGGCAGCCCCCATTGGTCACAAGCATCTCTCCTTTCTCTCCTGGGTCTTCCTGCTGACACCATCAATCATGGGCTTGATATGCCAGGATGTTATAGACACTGATGACCCTGGTGTTGGGAGGATGAATGAATCCCAGTTACCCACTGAAGTCCTCCGGTGTCTCTGTTCCACCTCCCAGAACACACACACACACACACACACACACACACACACACACACTGGTTTAGATTCTTTGGGGGCGTTTGCGAGCTTGGTGCATCTTGGCCTGCCTTCCTGCTGGATATTCTGCCCACACGCAGATGGATTCCTGAGAGCCAGCTGTCTGTCTGTCTCTGTCCATCGGTAAGCATCTATTTGGAATCTTCAGATCTAAATGTTTAAGGGAAATAGAGTCTCACATGGTAGACAGGAGAGCTGCATTCTCTGCTGGCTGGGCCAGCTTCTTACTGCAGGACCTTGGGCAGATCTAGGTTCCTCATCAGCTTTCCATTTCTTTCTTTAATGGGTACAGCAAGAAGTCGACAGTGCTAATTTCCTGGGACTCCATTTTGAGTTACTGCATCATGTATCAAATATCCAGAGACGAGACTTTCTTATCGATTGCATGGTAAATATGTAAAAGGAAGAACCAGCCCTGAGCCTTGCTATGTTGCCAATCTAATTAGAGAGAGCGAGATTGACCACAGGAAACAGAGAATGCCAGGCATGGCACAATTGAATTTCAGCTGTCTGGGACTTAGTGCATCAGGAGCTCAGATAAAATACGAGAATGCTGTGGGTCTTGGGACAGCTTTGGATCAAAAGGGAAAGTATCACGAATGTGAAGGGGAGCTCCATAGAGGGTGGGATACTGCATCAATAAGGATGGAGATGGGGGAGTAGAAACCTCGGGGCAGGGGGAGCACCCAGGGGCTCCTGTGCTGGAGAATGCTCTTCACGACTCTGCACAGAGTGCAGCCCGGGTTGGCATCGCCCGGGTTTATTTGTCCTGAGGCCCTTGGCTCCATTCTTCTACCCACCCCTGTCCTGATCTGGGGTCCCTGACCTGAACCTCCACCATTGTCCTGAGACCATCTCAGAACAGGACTCGGGAGACCAGAATTCTTTGCTTTCAGAAATATTTGGGGCAGGAAATGAAGATTTTCGTAGGTGGTGAAAAATATAGTGGGAGGCTGATTTATGTTTAAATTTTGTTTTAGGACAGCAGATTATAGCCCAAGTTTTGAGGCAAAGGCAGTGGCGTCTTTATGGCCTGCTCGGATCAGTTTTATGTCTTAGCGGTTTTTATGTTTCAGCACAGCCAAGAGGCTCAAACTTTTTGTGTCCATTCTTGGGAGATCTCATCTACCACTCCTTGCTCCCGACCCCGTCTCACCATAAAAATCAAAGAAGAAAAATAGATGAAAAGACTGTCTTGGATTGCCAGTTCGTTATGAGAACCCAGTCATTTTAACGAAATGAAATCAAATAAGTAGATGATAAATCCATGGAGACCCAGATGTTATGTCAAGCGACCTTGTGAAAACCAAAGGACGGGATCTAATTATTGTTGAATATTCAGATCGCTTCATCCTGAAGCTGCTTGGCTAGAAGAAATTTCTAGCTGACATTAGTGCCAAGATGAGCTATGTGACCTTTGCTGGCCTGCAGCTATGTTTTTTCCTTATGGCTACTGTGCCTTTTTTAACTTATCATACTTCTCATTTTTCTGTTCCTGAGGAAGCTCAGATCTGAATTTGTTAGGGCTTTTGAGCATAGGTTTTTCAAGAACTAGTGCTTTCCTGACTCCCCGCCCCCACCCCCCTATCCTTGTTCTCTCTTTGCTTTATCTATTTTTAACCCACTGTATTGTGTGTGGTTTGGTAAACTACCTCAGATCCTTTTTTTGGAACACAAGGGGCATAAGTAAATCAATAAATACGTCCTGTGTTTGTCAATATGGCACTTTGTTCTTTCTAAAATGATGTTCGCTTCCATTAGCTCTGTGGGTTTTGCATAGTTCTGTAAGGAAACGCATGTCGGCACAATCGCCCCCATTTTGCAGAACAGGAAGCATGGGTACACTGAGAGTGAAGTGACTTGCAGAGGACAGATGATTCCTCATTTATGAATGCCTGTAAGATGGGGCCAAGAGGTAATTCGGTGACTGGGGTGCTTGCCTTGGAAGGACCAACCTGAGTTTGTTCCCCGCCCTTCCTCATGGTCCTCTGAGCCCACCAGGAGTGCTCCCTACGTGAGAGCCAGGAGTAGCCCCTGAGCACAGACAGCGTGCGACCCCAAAATGAAATAAAAAGTACATCTATACGACTACCTAATCCTTCTGGAAGAAATAGGAGCGTGAAAAGTATAATCTATTAGGTGACTTTCTTTTTAAGGGTCGTTTTTTATTGAAACTTATTTAGAAAGATGTGAAGGGAGAGAAAGGAAAAAGTGTGAGTTCAGCAGAAGACACAGGTTTCTCCAGAGTTGAACTAGGCAAGCAGAGAAAGAGAGAGAGAAGCAAGCAAGATGGTGTTCAAGGGAGAACACGGGGGAGTCAACCTGTTAGGTGACTTTTGGTCAGTAGCTGTGGCGCGAAGAATAGGGTCACTTGTTGAAGAGGACACACACTGGAGTGACCACTGGCTCCAGAGATTTTCTGTGTCTCTGCATTGCCATTCCCAGATACCTCACCTCTGTCTGTCAACAGTTACAGTGACCCAAGTGGGGCCGCCAGATCTGGGGAGATAGTACACTTGCTTTGCGTGGGAAGGACCTGGATTTGATCCCTGGCACCACATGTGGTTTCCTGAGCCCCACCAGGAGTGATCCCTGAGCACAGAGCCAGGAATAAGCCTTGAGCACAGCCG